TCAGGGGAGGTTTGTTCATTTTTTATATTCCTAGTACCTAGCTCAGTGCCTGTCACTGAGTAGATGATCAATAAGTATTGTGGATTATAATTTATGAGGGTGTAGATCTGTTTCTCAAAATTTTCCACCCAAGTACCTACATTGACAAAGGAAAATGATGGTCCCAAAGTGCAAAGTTTGGGAGGCTCCAAAACCATCCTCAGGCTTGGTAATTTGCTTGAAGGACTCACAGAACTCTCTGAAAGCTGTTTTACTCGTAATTATGGTTTACTGTAGCTAAAGGATACTGATTAAAATCAGCCAAGGGAAGAGATGCAGGGTGCAGTGCTGGAGCCTTCCACACGCAGGGCTTCTGGCTGTCTTCTCCCAGTGGAGGTGTAGACAGTACTAACTTCTGCGGCAAAGACATGTGACAACATGCATGGAGCCATCTGGGGAGGCTCACCCGAAACTTAGCGTCCAGAGTTTTTACTGGGGATTGGTCATGTGGATATAGGCTCCAGTCCCTCCAGAGGTCAAGCTGATACAGTATGGCCTAACGCCCCTTGAGCATTAACAGTTTTATGAAATACAGTATAATACCCTGAAAATGTATGCAAATGTTATATACTAGTCCCTAATACAGCTCTTTTATTTCAATATACAGAAAAGAAAGAAGAAAATCCAAACTCCTCACAATGGTCTGTAAATCCTTCCATATCTGATCCTCGCTATCTGTGAAACCTCATCTCAATCTGGGCTCCTGAGTTCCCTAGTCACCCCTCATACTTACGTTTCAGCCACACAGGCCTGTGTGGTCTCACTAGCTCATTCTTGCCTCAGGACTTTTGCACTCGATGTTTGCCGCGGTCCAGCCTCGGCAGTGCAGGGAAAACCCGAAGGGAGGACAGAGTTGGCGATTAAAGAAGATCCACACACACCCGAGTCAGATGAGATGCTTGCCTCGCTTTATTGCCACGCAAAAAGCCTTTTTTATATTTTTTCTTTACTCTTATTACACCATTGATTTTTCAACAAATTCTCATGGTTATATTAATGATTATCTAATCATATAACACAATATTGTGAATGCTTTCTTTTGGCAGAACTTCTGTCCTTTGTTTCAAGTCTTGTGGTTACAGTGAGCTGAATCAATCTTAAAACACACAGACTGTTCCGTCTTTGAGCATTCAAAGGGCCTAACTATTTTCCTGGTATAGTTCTAGATTCTTATCTAATAAAAAATTATCACTAGTTCACACAAAACTTTCTATTTTCTAGCAAGGCATAAGCAATTTCTATCAAGTAACTTCTATTATGCATAAATCTTAGGTTGCTTAGGAGGACATTCAACTTTTATATATATGTTGCTTTCATGCAAAACATACTGGCAAAATATAAGTTGCCCTTTCCAAGCATTAATATCCACACCCGGTTTATAAGACATTTTATATTATGCATAATATATCATCATGGAATATCTTCGTGCCATAATGTTTCCTGGTATTAAGCAATTATTATACCAATACCATTTTGTACCAAATTTATCCCAGACTCCTCAAGGAGGCCATAAATCATTCATCTTCTCTTTTAATGTGGGCTGTTTCAATCTAAACATTCCCATGCTTGATCCTCTTTCCCATCGTGGAGGACGGGGAGTAGGTAATGGTGGGGGAGTTAAGGGGCTTTTTTGTCCCCCTGATGCTTCATCCCAAGGGGTTTTACTAAATTTCCATCGGGAATTACCATCTCCCAGGGACTCTACATGCCTTCCCCTAGGTTTTAATCCTCCGTCACCACATGCGAACAAACAAAGAAGTACACAGATCAAATAAATGTCAAACCCTTTAGTAATATCCATTATAATCCTATAAAGGCTGAGCTTTATCCGTAGACAACAGCTGTGCTGGTTCCCTTGGCTGTGCTCAAGGGATACTTGTCACATCCGGATGGCTCTCAGCAGATGTTACTTTTGCCTAAACTTCCTACTAGAACTTTACACAGCTGGCTCCTTCCTTCTTATGGTTTAGGCCTCAGCTCAAATGTTGCCTGCTTTGAGAGGAGTTCCCTCATAATGCAATAAACACTTTGGTCCAAGTTACTGTTTAGCTCATACATGCCCTATTTTATATCCACAGCAACTAGAATTATCAGGGTTTCCTTGTTTATTTCCTATGTATCTCCCCCAACTAGAATGTGAGTTCTCTATGAGAACATAGACATTGTCTGTTTTATCACTGTATCGCCAGCACCTAAAATGATAGGTAATCAATAAATATTGAATTATGAGTGAAAATATACACAATGTCCACTCTTACCTTTCTGCCATCTAGGAAATGTTAATAAGAGAGCATGGAGTTGTAGAAAGAACACTGATCTTGGAGTCAAACAGCCCTAGATTTTAATTCTAAAGAGCTGTGCCACATACTTTGAGCCATATACTTTATCCTGAGATTGTTTCTCGTCTGTTAAAAAAAGGTAACAATAAAACCTTCGTTGCAGAGTTGTTATTAGGATTAAAAACAAGATCACACATGTGGAAACACCAACCACTGTATTTGGCATCCAGTAAGATTGTGGTTTCCAAACATTGTTGCACGTTGGAATCACCTAGAAATTTTTACTCACTTCTGATGACTGGCTTCCACAGCCTGGCATCCATATCTTTAAAAGCTCTCCAGGTGATTCTGAAATACGCAGCACAGTTTGGGAAACACCACAGTAAAGGACAGCTGTCTGATAATTAAATAGAGTGGCAAGATCAGAGTAAGGCCTTTAGGAGCAGCACTCAAGTTACCCACATATTGTTTGTGCTTAAATTTAGCTCTTCTTTCAGAAAGCCCTCAAAAGATTACATTTAACAGCAAAGATCGATTCCCTGCTTGGTTAGCTATTTTTTTCCCTCCAAAATCAACAACGTACTTATTTATCCAGTGATACAAGATAAGGACAGAGCGTGAAACTTCCTGCTCCCTTTCACGCTGCTTAGGTAAAAGGACAGTAGCCACAAGACTTAACTTCTACTTTATACTGTACACAAAATTACTTTGTAATGGATCATAGAGCTAATTGTGAAATGAAAACAACTAAGTTTCCAGAAGAAAACATAGGGGATTATCATCACAGCACTGGGATAGGCAAAGATTTTTTAAACAGGAGACAAAAATCACTAACCACAAAAGTACTAATCATTAAACTAAACTAAATTTTAGAAAATGTTTATCAAGGGACTTCCCTGGTAGTCCAGTGGTTAAGACTCCGCACCTCCAGTGCTTCCACTGCAGGGGGCACAGGTTCTATCCCTGGTCAGGAAAGTAAGATCCCACATGGCAAGTGGTATGGCCGGAAAAAAAAAAAAAAAAAAAAAAGTTTATCAAAACAAAAACCTCCCAAACAAAATTAAAAAATTCGAAACAACAACAACAAAAAATGAAAGCAAAAAAACTGCCATTATCCTGGTAAGTTCCAAATTTGCCAGTGTTTGCCCTTGCACTAGGAATGACATGCTGACCAAAGATGGAATTAGCTCTTGAAAAAGTGACCATGAAAAGACATGCACGAAATGTAAATGCATATTGCTAAGTGAAAGAAGCCAGTCTGAAAAAGCTACATATTGTATGATTCCAACCATTCAATATACGACATTCTGGAAAAGACAGAGCAATAGAGAGAATAAACAGATCAGTGGTTGCCAGGGCTGGATGGGAAGGGGTGGGGCGGGGGGGAAGAGGAAGGGATGAATAAGTGGAACACAGGGGATTTTGGGGGAAGTGAAACTATTCTATGTGATAATATAATGGTGGATGCATGTCACTATGCATTTGTCAAAACTTATAGAACTGTATAACACAAAGAATGACTCCTAATGTAAACTATTAACTTTAGTTAATAATAATGTATCAAGACTGGTTCATCAATTCTAATAAATGTACTAGTGTGAGATGTTAATATAGGAAACAGGGGGTATATGGGAACTCTGTACTTTCTGCTCAAGTTTTCTGTAAACCTAGAACTGCTCTAAAAAATAAAGTCTCAATTTTTTAAAAAGCAATTTAAAAAAGTGAGCTCGAAGGTGTTGTTTTTATATTAAGTGATAATTTTCACTGCTGCATTAATCAGCCCAATAACCAATTGCACTATGTCATGTCACAGTATCATTCAAATTTATACATTTTTGGCAACAGCTGGTTTTCAGTGTTTAAAGGAAAAATAAACCGATTTCATAGATTCAGAAAACCAAAAGCCTAAGTTTGTTAAAACCTTAATTTTATTGTCTACGTAGTTAGTCAACAGTCTGAAAGAAAACTATAAATATAGGTGCTACACCATATCTAAATTATGA